AAAACATTATTTCAAAATCTTTGACCAATGGAACATTTTAGTTTTGAATTTATAAATCATTTGATTTATTATTTAAAATCACATCAAATTATAAAATTAGCATTGAAATGGACGAAGAATAAAACAAAATTTTAAACAATATTGTCGTTTCAAGTTGTCGGCTTCATAATGAAAATGATTTGCGCAACATCATGCGCGGATACGTTGCTAGTATATATATACAAAGAGGCGGTGAAGGGTTTAAAGTTTTAAACCAAATATTTAAAATACACCCCTCAACTTTTCTCAACTAACCAGAAACCACCTTCAACTTCCAAACTAATTAAAAAAACCCGGTCATAACATAAAATTAGTTGTCAATTTATAATATGTAATATTCAATGAAACAATAATCATCTGAAATAAAATAGTTAGATAAATGCTAAAAGTTTGTACTTTCACACCGGTTTTGGTCTTAATTTTCCCTTACACCTGCTAAGCCATTTAGTCCATCATTCTTTTTGAGAAGGATGCAAAGACTGAAAAGTAAATAACAAATGCGCAAAAGTAAACTGCAGAAACGTAAATTGCATAAATGTAAATTGAAGAAATGTGAATACTATCAATTAAAGAAGAGGAAGTTAAAGGACTGTAAAATAAATTACTGAAAAGTAAATTATAAGTAAATAAATTGCAGGAAATAAACACTGAGAATTAAAATGCAGGAAATTAAATTATAAGAAATTAAAGTACTAACAACTACATAAAATAAAGTGAAAAGAAGAAAGTGTTTGCAAGAAATAAAGTAAAGTGAGTGGAAACTTACTCTTCAAGTTACGAAATTTGCAAAACAAGTTTCGTTACAAAAAGAGTTAGATTACAAGTAAGCACTTGGAAAACGATTTTTCTTAACTATGGAAAACTGATATGGAGACACAAAAGATTATAAATCATATGTATTGCAACGGAAATAGATTAGCTCCAAAAGATTACCGAAAATTGAAGTAAACATGGAAATAAATCATGACGAAGTAGAAAACGATTCTTCAAAGGAACAACAATTGATTACATACTTGCAAACTGAAATTAGATCACAAAATAGTTAAGAAAAAAAATCTAGAAAGAGATTAGAGTGATAACTTGTATTTTTAAGCTTACAAAGCACACATATTTATACTAGTATTTAACCTTGGACTCTAAGTAACAAAAGTACAAGATGACATAAGTTGTTACACCCCAAGATCCACATTCGCATATAACCATGTATTTCATATAAAGAGAAACATTATGGTACACATTCGGTCCCAAAAAGATACAACAAACTACATCTCAAAGGTAGCAAACAAATTTTTCCACATCATTCTTGTACATTACTTGCATATATAACAAGTATTCAAGATCAACAGATAACAACTCTTCTCCATAATACAAGTAAGCACATAAGGAAAATATCACATTTTTTTCTTTCCCTTTTTCCTTTCCCTTATCCCTTGATAGTGCCCGACCTGTAATACACATTTTTGAAACACAAAATCAGGGTAAACCTTGAGATCTAGTGAGAAATCCCTTTTTTGCAATTACATGGTGGAAATCACCAAAACGTGATATAAAATCATGTTTGTAATAATAACAAACATATATATATATATATATATAAATATATATATATACATCATTTTGACATAAATCCAAATATTGCATTCACAACCCAATATTATGAAAATTAATTCATAATAAAACTTGTCTCTTAAAATAGGAAGTTATAATTTTTTTTTGCATCATATTGATGAAGCATACCAACTCCTCGCATCACACTAGTGAAAAACTCAACTCCTTGCATCACTCAGAGTGAGACCATCCAGAGCCCATCTGGTCCATCAACCAGAGCAAACGCAAACTTAAGACAAGGTCATTTAAGTTAATCCAAAAACAAGGTTTGATAAAAAGTAAGACCAACCAGAGGCCCTATGGTCCTACTAACCAGAGCCTCTAGTCTCAAACTTCAAATTCAACCAAAAATTCAACACAAACTAGAGCCCCTCTGGACCACTATAATCAATGAAAAATACATTAAGATAGCCAACATAAAAGTATAGGCTAACCAGAAGCAGGCCAATAAAAAGACATGGCCAACCAGATGCCCTCTGGACGACCAGAGCCTCTCTGGTTCGTCTAACCAAAAATGAGTTATACTTAGAAAAAGAACTTTAAATATGATCAGAGGCCCTCGAATTAAATATGAAAATTAACTACAGCCCCCTAGTTCATTTGCCAAAGACAACACACTTAGAAAGAATCCACCCAAAGCCATGGCCAATAAAGAGGCCCTTTGGGTGACCAGAGCCCTTCTGGTTGAACTAGGTCGGTCACTTCGGCCGCATCTATCGTCAATGAAAAGGTGTTGGGGTTCATAGCAATGACAAACTCTCTGATTGAGGGTTTCAAACCCCAAATGTACGTTTCTATCTTCCTGGATTCTGTTGAAACATAGTGTTCAGCAAAGCGAGAGTATTCAATAAATCTCTCAGTATATTCTCGAACTATTCCATTTCTCTGTTCTAGCTTCAGGATGTCTCACTGCAGTTTTAGGGAAAAACTGATTCTTGAATCGTTCCACAAATTCTACCCAAGACAATGTCTGTAAAACATCTGTTCTGGCCGACGATTCAACTTCCCACCAGAACAAAGCATTTGTTGATCCCAGATCTCTCAATAAACTAATAATCGAGTTAAGAATAACCAAATTATAGTGTTTTAATGAACAAAGTGATGAATACTCAAGAACAAATTATGAACTTTAAAGAACAATCTTGAGTGTCAAAGGTTTCACTTTATTAATAAGAAAAACGTAAAAGTGACATTTAATACAATAGGCCTAATCACCTATTTATACTAGTAAGCTAATTAGAAGATAACTATCTAGTGAGACTATTTAGCTAATCTTCTATTAACAGATAATGTTTATCTAAACTATTGATAAGCAATAATATTAAGATAAACTTGAAATCCAGCTGTCGACTTGTCATCTCCAGCTGTCTTTCATGAGATGATGAATCAACCTTATCTTCATCGTATGCCTCTGGTTGAATTGTTGAAGAAAACTCTAAGTGTTGTTGACTAGAGGGGTGATGAAGATGCTCTTTCCATCGCATCTCTGGTTGTTCATCGACCCTCTGGTTGTTCTCCAGACTTGGTCAATTCTGCCTTGATGTTTTCATCGGTCTTCTGGTTCTTCATCACTTATTGTTTTTCATTACTTTTACACTTTATGGATTATGGGGTCTAACAATCTCCCCCTAAGTAATGAAAGAACATAAACTAATCTATGTACAGAGACTAATCTACAGAAAAACATCAAACTCCAAATTTCCATTGGATGATGAATTCTTACAGTACTGGAAACAAAAGACATCATTTTAAGGCAAAAATTTACAACTCATCATGATCTACCTTGAGATATATCTCAAAAGCGCAGAAGCAATCTTCGATAGCCGATGACTGTTGATATCTCATGAATAAGTTGATTCCCATCTTCTCTTGGCATACGAGATCTACCAAGTCTTTCTCTGATGACCTTCTGAAACCACTCAAGTGTATCGGTTGAATACTTGAAGGCTTCAGTTAATCTGAAGAATTTCTTTACCCCGAACTCATTCTTGAAGACAAGTCCAAGTTTGGTTTGAGTTAAGACAGAGGCAGATCTTTTCTCCTGCAGGGCAGGGAAGTCTTCATTTGGTGGAGCACAGGAGAGTCTTTCAATGCCTAAGTGAAGAGCAATTTGAAAATCACTCTTGGCTCGATGCTTCACCAGGGTCTCCATTGTCTTTACAACCACTCTGTTTGCCATCCCAAATCTGATGCCATGATCCTGTCGCTGAGTTGTGTACGCGTAAAGTTCGATCAAGTCTTAGGGGTTGAGATTGATCAAGTCATTATCGTTGAAGACGCTGACCTGACTGTGAGCTCTTTCCACCATGTACTCGATGAATCTTATTGGTCTATTGGCGAAGGTCCTTATTTTTATAACCATTACCCTCCTTATCCCATCGTTTGAGAAGACAACCTATGGTGCTTGGGTGGTCTGTCTAATAAACCTATGGTGTAGGAGGTCCATGGATTCAATCGATAAAACCGGAGGATTGAGAGTCATCGCGGTCGTGATACAAGTATTGATGGATATTTTCCATCATTATGGGTTCCCTAGGTGGCAGCTCTTGACGTCTCCTCAGCGACTCCATGTTCTGGATTATTTCATCGACTAGGCTCTACGGAGGTTGCCTTGATGAAGAGGGAATGTCAGCTTGCACCGTGGTTGGTTCGATTGGGGGTTGAGTTTGGGTTATGGGTTATGTTTGGGTGGTAGTTTTTGTATCGGTTGGGGGTTGTGTATGGGTAGTGGGTTGTGTATGGGTAGTGGGTTGTGTATCAGTTGGCAAGAGGATGGTTTCTTGGGTTGGCTCAGGTTCATCGGGTTGGGTGATGAAAGGTTGTGTATCGCGAGGGGTTGGTGATGGGGTTAATGGTAGGTTTGGTGTGGGTGATGGAGTCAAAGGTAGGTTGGTTTCTGTTGGTGGGGTGGTTGGATTTTCATCGGTTGAAGAACTCAACACGATGGGTTTAGGGGAGGCTACAAGGGGAACATGTACATTTTGTACATCTTCAGAGGGCTGAGCCTCTTGTTCCCTTGCCTAGGTTGATGGGGATTGTTGTTGTGTTTGGGGTTGTGGTGATGATGCAGCAGACTCCGTCAGTTGAGCAGCCGTAGCCTGGTTCTCCCCCTCATGAGGTCCAAGACCTTGATCATTGGGGTCTGGGTCCTCATGGCATGGCCTGTTTTATGGGCGGCTATTGGAGCATGAAGCTCTGCTCCTCTTCTTCTTTTTCTCCATCCTGAAGGATGCAAGATACGCCTTCAGGGTTTGGTGTCTTCGGCTCTCCTCCATCATGTGAAGGAGAGAGGTGGTGCGCCTTTGTTGGTCAGCAAGGCTCTGGGTGAGAGCCTTGGTCGGTTGAGCCGCTCGATGAATGAACTTGGCACTTATCTCGTTAAAGAGAAAATAAGTTCCTTGGATAGAGCCCTGAGATTGGCTTTTGTGGCATACTCCATGCCTGATGATGATGTTTGTGGTGGCACGAAGGTGGTTGTGGATGTGGATGGAGGAATGGGTAGGTTGGCGATGCGATTTCTCACCTCTGCAGTGAAGGAGGAGAAGGCTGCATTAAAGGATGGGCCTGCAGAGGGAGGTGGGGGTGGAGTAGGCTGGGGGATGTGAGCTAGTATTTTGGCAGGAAGTTAGGTTAGGGTGGTTTGTATGGTGGCCATTTGGTGGGTGAGGGAGGCTAGGGTTTCATCGATTGATGAAGTGGTTTGAGGTGGGGCTTCTTGAGGAATTTGGGAGTTGATGGTGGTTGGTAGGTTGTTAAGGTTCTAGAGGATGGTGTTTAGCTGGGTGGTTATGTAGGTAAGGTTCTCATCGGCCTCAGTTGCCTCGTCCGTGAGGGTGGCGATGGAGTGAATGAGGGTTGGTTTCTTTGGGTGGCAAGGGAGGAGGCGGGGTTGTGGTGTTGGGTGATGGTTTGCTGGAGCATTTGAAGACGTGTTGTATTGTCTTGGGTTTGTGTTCCAAGTTGGGAGAGGTGTCGTTGAAGGATGGCAAGGGTTTGTTGAAGGGTGGTGTTATCGGTTGATGGTGGGTTGTCAACAATCCCTTGGATGATGAGTTTAAGGTCTTCCAAGGACCGCAGAACTAAGTCAACAAAGGCTTGGAACTCGGCCTTTGTGACCAGGTCGGCTATGGGGGTAACCCCTGCAGCAACAGATGCTGTAGGTTGAGCCTCTGCTCCTGAAGCGCCTTCATGGCCTTTTGAAAATGTAGGCCGTGAAGGACTTCTATCATGTCCTTGATAGCCCTCAAGTGAGGAGCTATCTCGCTATGTTGCTGCGTCAGCTTCCTCTTCCTCGGCTTCAGAGACTGGGTAAGTGAAGCAAATGTGTGTCCCCTTCGGTATATCAAATATCGAAGGGGGATGTGCATGAAAGGGAGATCGCTCTGAACGATCTTGGGGTGTATCAATGTTAGAAGCAACACATGCTTCTGTGTGTGTCATAGATTGTGTCGAGCCTTGAAGTGAAGGGTCTCTTATTTCTCCATCACCTCTCTATTGGGAGAGGGGTGATGGAATGTGGGGTTCCTCAGCTGATTCATCTCCAAAGGCCCGAAGAATGGCCTCTGGATGGTTGGCTTGGGTAGGGATTGGACTGGGTCGTCCTTGTTCAATACCCCTTTTGCTTTGATCGCCAGGGGTAGATGTGGTGGTCGCCCTTTGGGAAGTGGGTGGAGGAATTGTTTGAGTATGGTCGGGGGATGCACGATGAGTGTCATCATCATCATCATCTTCATCATCCGATGAAGATGCCTCTTGTGCTCCCTCGCTTGGGTCTGGGGACGGCTCTAGTCGCTATGGGGTAGCTGCCCTTGGTTCCTGGGACAGCAGAGAGCATTCATAGGTTCGACGGATCTCAGATGTCGATGGAATGACATTGAGCATGGCCCTTGAGAGTGGTCGGTTGATGGTGTAACCCTCCTTCGATAGGGTGGGTCGATGGCCTTGCATTTTGAAGACTGGAGTGAACGGTTCTTCAGCCGGTAGACCATGTTTCCTCATTGCGTCCCTTATGAAGAGGGCTAGGAAACAAGGAAATAGAACAACAGATAAGGTTTTGCCGGTGGCCTGGAGCTTGCATTTCTTGACTACCGCCGAGTGGATCTCATTGTATATGAGAAAGGCGTAGTCAAGGTTGAGGTTGAAGAACAGCCCGTACATGATCATCATTATATTGATGTTTCCTTGGTCCAATGACCCTAGCTTGCATGTGAGGGCCCTGTTCAGGATTGAGAAGAACATGTTCCACATTGGCGGGAGGAATTTTCGTTTGAAGTCGGAGACGTTGCGTAGGTCACGATTGTATCCTAGCATATTAATGAAGCGTAGTATGTCGTCGGTGGTGGGTGGTTCGTCATATTCGGCAATGCCAAGCTCTCGATGAGTGGGAATGCACAAAACTCGAGATACTTTAGCCCACAAAATTTTGAGCGAGCAGATCATATCGTTTGGAGCATCCATGTCCCCCATTATTCCACGGCTGTCGGGGTGGAATTCACAGGTTTGCCAGTACTATTGGACGTACTTTAGTGGTACGCCGGTGTCAGCAAGGGTCAATGTTGGTAGTAGAATGCAGTTCTTGAAGAACTCGATCCTGACGGCAAACCTGTCATCGAATAGGCTGTTTCTCAGTTCAATGGCGTGGTTGTTTTACTTCAATGTAAGGAAAACGATTGCGCGGCTATCGGCAGTGGTGGATTGAACGCGACTGTCATTGTTGTTTGACTCGTGGGAGGATGAGGAGGCCATTGCTTAGGAAGTTGCAGGTAGAATCGTTCGTCAAATGCTATTTGCAGGTTTAAGGAAGCGTAAAGAGGAAATGGAGGTAAAAGAAAGGTATTTATAGGTGGGAGGAGGTGGGGGGTGGGAATGGAAAACGGTTTCTTGATTATTATATTGAAATAATCATGAAAAAGTAGAGGCGGTTGGGTAATAGACGATTTGRTTTGGAGATCGTGAGCCGTCTTGATTGTACATGCCATTAATGTTGGAGGACACGTGTCAAAGCGGGGTTAGGGAAGGGAAATTTGAAAGGGTTTATGGGGAACATGTTGTATATGGTGTCAGGCACGTGTGAGGATGACATTTGGATTATTTGAAATAAGAAATTATTCCAAATAATATCTCGTTAAGTATTGATCCAAAAACTATGATATCCGTGTTCCGTTAACTCGTACAAATTGGGTTAAATGAATTTTTGCTAGAATTATGCATAACATATTTGTACCCTATGTTTAAACAACTTGTACTTCAGACGAGTTTTGCGCCAAAAATGAGTTTATACATAATTTGACGTAAAGTTGAGAATCTAACTTGAAGGGTTAAAACCGTCAAATAATTAAACTTTATATATATATATATATAAGAAAAATAATATATATATATATATATATATATATTTATATTTATATAAGTATGCATGAGCGGCGGTTTTTATCACCGCCTCATGCTCTGTATTTCTCTCGTCTCATTCTCTCTCTAAAATCTCTCGTCTTCTCTCTAAATTTTACGTCAAGTTAATAAGAGGATTGAAGTAACAAATATATATTCGGAATCCACTCTCCGAACCCTTCTTAAAGGTATAAGTTTCATTCAATTTTATTATGGTGTTTATGTTAGGGTTATTAACTCCGGTTTATAAACTATGTTTATATCTAAGTTTACGGATTGATGTTGTCAAAATCAGGATATATTTGATGCTTAGAATGTTAGGACTGGTTAAATTGATGTAGAAATGAAAAGGGTATATTATAGTTTCAATGTGATTAGATTGTGGGTAAATGTTTAACCGTACACCAATTGTTCGGTTAAATGTCGAAAGAAGTAAAAATGCATGATTAAGCTTAGGTTAACGACCATTGGACTTGTTTTACTGTTTAGTATGTTGAAGTACGTCTATAGCATGTAAATGTAGCCAATCATGAAAGTTGGATCATAAAAGTTAGTCGGGAATTACGGAATCGAATTTTACCGACAATGTAACTCCCGTACTTTGACAGTGTATAACTCACAAACCGTAAGTCGGATTAAGCTTGTATTTTGCAATCAGCAAAATCATACTGCGTACTACAACTTTCATTAAGGGTCAAAATTCCAGTTATGATTCTAATTGGCTCGAAACAGTGTGTTTTTTAGGCTGTTTACACTGTATCCGGGATTAATTTGCAGTTTTGTAAAATTCATATAAAATAGATGGATGATCCAAATGAGATGATTTCAAAAGCAATAGACTCGTTTGACACCAATATAGAATTTTCAATTAGAAAATATAATCTGGATTGGTCTCTAAATAAGATAAAAATGCTTACAAATAAGAGGGACGGAAGCGGTTGGATCGAAAGAAAATAAGGTTAAGTTTTACGTTTGAGTTTTCAATTCATATCCGGCTGTCCTTCTTGAAGTCTACATTGTTTAAGTACATTAAAACCTAAGTAATTTTATTAGAATAGTTATATTATGGTTTTTATGCTTTGTAGTAACCGGTTATGCATTCGTTAGGCACGCGGGCAAGTCAAACTTGATCGTGAATTTTCGTTTGATCGTGCGTTAATTATCAAACTTGGTTAAGGTACGGATTCCATATCTCACTTGACACGGGGATAGCCATTTGCGTAAGGCTTCCTAATCCGGATAATCTGTGATAAATTCCGAATAATTTATTCTGAATTTCCTTTATGCTTATCACATGTTATTGAACTTTGGTTCCTTTTGAATTACGACTTATATTCTTATTCGGAATATGGATCATTTTGATCACTTGACTTGTTTTATTGCTTCATTTGTGAAACATTTTACTATAGACTCAATAACTGGAGCACCGGTATTGAGATGTTTCAATGGTGACTAAAACGATCATGGCGTCCTCATTTTTATAGTCCTTAAAAGTGGACTAGATTATGTACCGGTCGAATAGAGAGGCGTATGGATCGATCCTAGGAACCGTTATCGGATAATGAATTTTGGCCGTGGTTAAATTCATGGAGAGGATTGCTGTGTTGTGCTCACACCCCTTTCCTCACTTGTGCCTGAATGGACTGATCATCCTTTGGGAACAAYRCRTCYTCRTGATGCRRTTTGGTCTTCGGACCCTTGACATGCTTTTGGGGCATTTTTACTTTTTTTTGGATTATCACTTGGCATTATAAATTGTTTTTGAAGTTATTATCTCATATTCATTGTTTAGTTATATTATTATCCGTTCACTGAGCATTAAGCTCAGCCGAGATTTTCTTGTCCTAGGCAGGTACATGACTTAGCAGGGATTTTGGGATGAGAGCTACGGAGATGACAATATTGAAGATAACTCATTAAGTCATACTTTTGTTAAATTTTTGATGACTATGTAGACATACTGGTATTTTGGGACCGTATTTTGAGACACGTTATCTCCGTCTGTGGTTATGTAATTATCTTTTGGTAAATTTTATTAGTTGCTCTGGTTTATATAATGCGTTGTTTTTTTTAACCACTTGTGGCATCTCCCGTCTTTGACCATGCGGGACGGGGGTGTTACAAGTTGTGGTATCAGAGCTATTAGTTATGATCCTGTAGTACAATTTAGGTTTGATCTGTGAGAAATGGGTAGAACTAAGATAGTATTATCCTAGGCTCTATATTTTCCCGGTGTGATAGTGGTACAAAAGGAAACATAGATGTGTTTCAAGGAAATTCTAGCGGGCAAGGAACTAATCGGATAGGTCTGTAGAAATAACCGAATTACAAATCTCCAATTGCATTTCAAGGAACTTCTAGTAAAGGTTTTTCGAATACAAATTCTCTGTACGGTGCAAAGATTGTGGTTTTAGACATCGTCCTGGCCCATGTATTCGATTGACCGGTGCCTGTTATAATTGTGGTCAACGAGGTCATATAGCTCGTGATTGTAAACAAAGGCCAAAAGATAATTCTAAAGATAAAGAGAAGCAATCTACTGCCGGTGGTCGAGTGTTTACACTATCTGCTGACAAATCTACTGCGGGTATGGTTTCTGGTACCAATTCTATTGATGGTAGAAATGCATATGTTTTATTTGATACAGGTGCTACACACTCGATTGTTTCTGAAAACTTCGAAGAAAATCTTAAATCATATGAACAATCCACTGAATTTCCATTACATATTACTACTCCCATGGGTAGTTCAGTATGTATATTTGGGCAATTCCCAAACTGTCCATTATTTATTGGCAATCGAATTCGGGAAGTTACTTTACTACCGATGAAAATGGATCACTTTGATATCATCCTTGGCATGGATTGGTTGTCTAAACATCGAGTGACCATCGACTGCAAAGCCAAACAAATCATCTTCGGTGACGTCAATAAACCCGAATACGTGTTCCAGGGTGTTTCACCTGAGAAGGGAACTCGTGTTATCTCAGAAGTAAATGTTAAAGCAGTGGTATGGCAGGGATGTGAAAGATTTTTAGCTTCACTACAAGATCCCGGAGAGGTATGCCTTAAACTTGAAGATATTCCTGTTGTTAATCAATTTCAAGACGTCTTTCCAGATGAACTTCTAGGAGTTCCTCCGGAAAGGGAAATTGAATTTACAATTGTTCTTGTTCCGGGAGCTGCACCTATCTCAAAGGCTCCGTATCGTATGGCTCCGACCGAAATGAAAGAACTTAAGGAACAACTTGAAGATCTTTCTAATCGGGGTTTCATTTGACCCAGTGTATCTCTGTGGGATGCACCGGTCCTATTCGTTAAAAAGAAAGATGAATCGATGCAGTTGTGTATTGACTATCGGGAACTAAATCGGGTTACGGTACGTAATAAATACCCTTTACCCTGTATTGACGATCTTTTCGATCAATTCCAAGGAGCAAAGTATTTTTCTAAGATCGATTTAAGGTCTGGATATCACCAACTCCGGATCAGAGGTCAGGATATTTCTAAGACTGCATTCCGTACTTGATACGGGCATTACGAGTTCATTGTTATGCCATTCGGGTTAACTAATGCTTCAGCAGTTTTTATGGATCTTATGAACCGAGCTTTCAAAGATCATTTGGACGACTTTGTTATCGTTTTTATTGACGATATTCTCATATATTCAAAGTCGAAAGAAGATCGCGAAACTCACTTGCGTATTACTTTAGAAACTCTTCAAAATAAGAAGTTGTACGCAAAGTTTTCTAAGTGTGAATTCTGGTAGCATCAAGTGGCATTTTTGGGTCACATTATATCTGGCGAAGGCATTAAAGTCAATCCTGCAAAGGTTGAGGCTATCACTAACTGACCAAAACCAACAAATGTTTCTGAAGTCCGAAGTTTCCTAGGTCTGGCAAGTTACTATCGACGGTTTGTTGAAAACTTTTCCCGGATCACGCTCCCTATGACTAAACTTCTTCGAAAAGAATTTAAAATTGTTTGGGGTGAAGAACAGGAAAAGAGTTTTGAAGAACT